GGAACAATGCAAACTCAACAGGCCTTTCACCACTTGTCTTAATTTTTCAGCAAGTAGTCTCAGAAATGAATAAGTAGGGTAGTATTCTACAACCAAACTCAAAGAAATGAATGATTAGGGTTGCAGTATATTACCAAAACAACAATGCAAAATCAAGAGACTGTCAACCACTAAGACTTCCTTTTTACCAAGTAGGCTTGAAATGAAGAGATAGCCCTGCAGTGTGCAACCAAAAGAACAGGGTGATTCTGAGACTTATGTCCTCTTCAACTTCTTATTATGATGTTTTTTCTTACTGAAAATTTACAGTTTTGGGAACTTTTTGGTGTTACTATCCATTGTGGTACAACTACCTGCTTCCTTGACTTCCTTGTAGCACTGAGGAGGAGAGCATTGAATTTTTTATATAAGACGGTTACCACTTCAAAACTTAATTTAAGATGATGCTTTACTGAATCGAATTTTGCTTCATCTACAATGTTTGGGGAAACCATTTGTTTTGGTCCATATGGTAGATAATTTATTGTAAATTAGAGATTTTCACACAGATAGTGGTGCATGCTCAAGTAGCACATAGTTTTTTCCAGTATCTTGCTGCTTTTTTGTTCTGTTGTAACATCTATATGAGTTAGTGAGCTAGCTTCTAATAGATCTCTTCCAGTATCTTGCTGCTTTTTTGTTCTGTTGTAACATCTCTATGAGTTAGTGAGCTAGCTTCTAATAGATCTCAAGTGTTCCTGGTTTTGTTGTGGATCACAATCTGGAAGCCCCAAACATGAACTATTATTGAGTATTGATACTCCTATCCTTTTGATCTTATGAAGCAACTCCTTCCACTTCTTATATGCAGTTGATTTTGTTTGGTTGTACTTATATGGATTTTTTTTCATCTGCAGTGGCAAGGAAACAGAATTCCATATTGAGCCTGAGATCACATTGGAATTGATGATGGCTGCCAATTATTTGCACACCTGAGGTATTACTTCTTCTCCTTGGGGTAAAATTCCTGATTGTACAGTGTTTCCTTATTCTTTCTTGGTAATACTTTACGAGCCAAAGATTCACATATCTGATCTATCATCTTTATAATCTTTTGTGCAATTGAATCTTTTCTGTTGCCATTTATAACTGTTTTATGTTTCATTTCTTGATTACCTCCCTAGTTTGTTCGCAACTGAGTGTACATTTCCCAGGAACAATATTACTTTGGGGCCCTAAGGTATAGAAGTTTGGAAAAAGCATCAAATTGCCATTGGAGCTGGTAGGATGTTGATATTTTTAGTTGTTTCTGACGTTGGCACTGTAACTTTTGGTACATATGTTGTCTTCTTCTGCTGGAGAATGTAATAGTATTAAGACAATTTGGGGCCTCAGTTTTATCTGTTCCATGGTTAACCCATTTTAACAGCAGAATTTATCCCCGTGTGGATGAATGTTCATGTATCATGCGGTACTTGAATTTTTAAGGCTCTATATACTTGATGTGTTTAGATGCTTGAAGGGCTACTTGAGATCCTCTTTTAAACCTTTCTTATACTACTAGTAATCTGTCCCCGTTTTATTGACAATTGTTGTTTGTGATCGATCAACACACACCTATAATCCCTCCAATCTCAAATTTTAATTGCTTACTCTTAACGCGAAAAAAAAAAAAGGAAAGAAGGGGAAGGGCTACTAGCATCAATGGTGTTACTTTCACGGTTCAAATAAGCAACGTGAAACAACATTACCTTAGTAAATGCTTTATGAGTCGGACAACCTTATTTACGATCGTTGTCTTCAAGAAGACCTCATGTGATGTGAGGATTATGATCCTCTAAATAAAACACATCTACTAGTTTTAAACTTTTACATTTCTCCTTTTTGTTTTGTTTGTTGTGTAGAGGACACGTCCAATAAATGGAATAATACACGACGTTTTGTTTACTGTTATATTCGATGCGCCGGCAAACACACAAATGTAAATCTACGGAATCATATTCAAGTCAATTTTTACGCATTCTGTTTAATGTTGTCATACTTGCTATGTTCTACTAGGATGTATCGATCTTATTTAAGGCTTGGCAACCGAATCAGTATATTACATTCTTACAATTTACATTTCTTTTTCTTCTGTTGTGTGATGGATAATAAACTGATGTGGTAACACATGGCCAAAAGTGGACGTGCCGGAGTGGTTATCGGGCATGACTAGAAATCATGTGGGCTCTGCCCGCGCAGGTTCGAATCCTGCCGTCCACGTTCTTTTATTTTTAATGTATATATTAAAAATTCAAACTTAATTTATTTATTAAAAAAATGTTCAAATGATAGATTTTGAATCAAGTTTAGATAAATCGCAATATAATTACAAACTCTAACTCATAAAATTTTAAATCTTACATCGATTTAATTAATATGCTGGGATGGATCTTTTGAGATATATTTTGAAGGGGTGGAGGAGGACGTTTTGTTAGTTTGTGTTGATTCGATGAATGGTAGTGCTATTTGAGATTTTTTAAGAAATGTATATAAATTGAAAACATGGAAGAGAAAATGGGGTCAGCACTAAGAAAAAAAGAAAAGGGACTATCACTGGTGATTTATCTCTTACATGTCTCTGTTTTTTTTTAATTGATTTATAGATAAGCTTTTTAACGTTGTTAATTGCCTCAAATACACTAGCTTTTAATAATTAAAATATATATATCTCAGTAATGAGGAAAGCCACATATATATTGGACCCTTTTCGATTGTTCTAACATTTTTATATTTAAACCTTTTTCATAGGTAGGGGTCATCATTAATCAAAGGGACAAATTTTCTATTGTCTTGTGCACAAAAAATATTATGAAAATTGACTCTACCAAGACAAGAGAGCCAGCCATATATTATATTTTATATATATATATATATATATATATATATAAATCTCTATGTGTGTAAGAGATAAGAAAAAGGATGGGTATCAAATCTTGAAGTGTAGAAAAATCTATTTAATTCTTTCAATGTAATCTATATTCAGATAAGGTGGGCGTTTAGTTTATACTGAATTATACATATGGAATTATACTTATTTTTTTCTAAACAATGTTTGATTTACAAACTCTTTTTCACAGATTATTCTTTTTTGGTAATTGGTTTATTCTGCAAGTTATATAATTAATGTTTATGGGATAGCTTAACTATCCGTTTGTTGAATTTTCCTGCAAAATATGAAACTCCGAAATTGATAGTTCTAACTCTATTTCGACAAATATTTGATGACGGTTTAGCTAAAAAGTTCAAATATAGTAGAAAATCTAAAAAATGAAATACTTACGATTGTTTGGTAGACTGTATAAGAATAATGTTCAATATAATGTATTAGTAATATTTGCATTAGTTTTACACAGTATAAGAATAATGTTCAATATAATGTATTAGTAATATTTGCATTAGTTATACATAGTATATTTCTTATGCTTTGTTTGGTTGGTGTACGAAAAAATAATATGTATTGTATAAAAATATTTATTTACAAAAGTAACGTCCACAATTATGACAGAAAAGATGTAAAAGCGTTTTGAGGGGTGATTGGATCTTTAACCATATTAATACATGTATAAGATTCCTTTCACTATTACTAATACCTAGGTATTCATGGTATTAGTAATGCACTTCAATACACTATAAAGTGTATAACTAATGCAAGCTTTAGTTATATATTATCACGAAAAATATACAAACAAAAAACTACTAATACACAAAGCTAATATATGCATTATTTTTACTCTACCAAACAATCTTATTTATCCTTCACTTTTTTCTAAATTTATTATAAAATAATTGAATGAATCAAATTAAAAGACAATATAACTTGATACAAAACACCATTAGCTATAATGAGCCTTGTGCAAATATAAATCAGCCGAATATTTTATTGCCTCTAATAATATATAATTGTATCTCTCACAAATTTGTAGATGAATATTAATTATTTTACTCTAATTTTTTATATTAAATTGATTCCAAAATTAAAACGTGATTCGATCATCAAACTACTTTGTATTATATAGTAGGGGTCCATAATAGTGATTGTTGTGGTTTTGCAAAATTGTTTTCTACAAAATGTGACACCACACGATTTTTTTATTTTTTTTTATAAAATAAAGTTTAAAGATACCAAAAATAATTCAAGATTAGGATATTTTAGAATCTGAAAAAGAAGGCATGAAAGAGAAACTTACAGTATCAACTAAGAAAAGAATATTTGGATAGTATTTTATTGATATTAAAACAAAAAATATTTAAATTTGAAGTCAAAGTTAAAAATCAATACTCCATCTATTTTATATTAATTTGTCCCTATTGATATGATACAATCCTAAACTTACCTCATTACCCATATTTTAGAACTTTTAATTTGACCTTTTACTACTTTGTGTGATTATTTAATATTATTGTATGGTTGAATTTGAAGATAAAATGAACAAAATATAATATTTCATGAGATAAATTATGTCATTTCAGTATCTCCGTTTGAAATCAATACGCTTAATCAAATATAAAATGAAAAAATCTCACTATATCTCAGAATTATTATCTAGAATAGGAAATTATTCTACTATAAAAAATAGTTAATAAAGAGAATTTACTTTGCTAAAATGAAGTGAAATTCTATTTTTGGTATATAAATCAAGTAAACAAAATAGTAACTTTTAATATAAGAAAAATGCACAAGTACTCCTTAAATTTATGCTTGAAATTTCAGCGACACACTTATATTATACTAAAATTTTAAACTTATTTAATAAACAATTTTTTATTCCTTTTTGGCCAACGTGATACTATCTCGTGATTTCAGTACATTTTTTCAAGCTAGTGCGCGAAAAGTGATAAAAAATTATTTTTAAAATAAATTAAAAAAATAATAAAATTTTAATATAATATAAGTGTCTCTATAAAATTTCGGACATAGATCGAAAAACTTATGCATTTTTTTTTAATATATGAATCAAAGCAAAATGAATAGGAGTAATAGTAACGTAATCAATTTATGTAGAGCTTTCAAGATTTCACTATTTATTTTTTCCCGGGTTCTTTTTTTTCCTCAAAATTCTCATATACTTATTCCCTACTATACAAAAATCTGCATCTTCAATTATTTTATATAGAGAAAAAATCTTCGTTCGGTACTTTACCTTTCTCTTCAATGGAAAAAAGTAGTAAGAAGAAGCAAGTGGGTTCTGCTGATGTTTCTGCTTCCACTGGTATTTTCTCTTCAATTTTCCCACCACCATCTAAGGTACTTATTCCTTATAAGAACAAAATTAGAGTATTATATATGATTTGACTTAATACTAAAGTTTATTGTTGAATAATTCAATGGAATAAGAATTTGGGAATTTGGGGTCAAGGGTTTGATTATATGATTCCAAGTTATTGTTATGTGTCTAACTGAAAATAGAAGTAGAAATAAGATGCAATTTGCTAATGAAGTAGTGGAAAGATATGGGTTTGTTTTTACTAATGAGAATATGGCAATTCCATCAATTTCTGTGAACCAGAGAAACTATGTTATCTAATTTCTGTGATAGAAACCTGTGAATGAAATGTTAGAGGTGGTTTATGGGTATCTAATGGATTATACTCCAATTTGTGCTATTACTTTCTCCTTGTGGAATAGTTGATGTGGGTGCTTGTGGCAGAGTTAATTGGTAGTTATGTTGGTGGAAGATGGCACGTACCTTGTGGAACAGTTGATGTGCGTGCAAAATTTGTGATCAATACAACTTGTACTCTTGTAGTTAAGGGTGTTGCGATTTCGATCATTTCAGATATACAATCAAATTCAGATACATAAGAATTTGGGAATTGGGGTCAAGGGATCTTTCGATGTTCTTGTAGTTGAGGGATTGCAATTTCATAGCATTGGAGAGATAAAGGATTTCTTAGCTTTTCTTTGTTGGGAAGGTTTGGTAAGTAACGCAGAGTCAACTTGAATTCCTAACCAAAATCTGACAATTCTTTAACTCATGTAAATACCAGAAACTCTGTTTCTAAATTTTTATGATTATGTCATAAGTCATGACTTGTGATAGTTGTAACAATATAGAAGTTTAAGCTGAAAAAAGTGTTTTTGATGGTCAACTAGGAAAGTAATTGTGATAGTTTGAAATAGCATAGCATCGATCTGCTTGTGTGTTCTCCTTTTTGAAAATAAAAGTAGTAGTTATTGAACTATCTCATCTTCCACATTCCTGTAGGTTATGGGAAGGAAAGCTTCGGCAGCTGAACTCATACAATCTCTGGAGAAACAGTCGTCTGGTTGTAGGGCATGGAACAAATCAGCTACAGGTGTCTTATCACTTGTGATCTCTCTCTTTTCCGCATCGTCATTCCTCCTCTCTTTGTTTCACCTCATTTAATTTGTGTTATTTTCCAATCTATATTTACACGGGACTCTTGGAGAATCATTGTTATGCTTCACATACTTGATTCTACCGACATAAGATAAACCTATAACATATAAGAGATTCTCAGACACCTCTTTCCATTCCCATCACAATCAATTGGTCACACACTTGATCTGTATTTTTTGTGGTATAAATCCAAACAAAGCCTTAACTCTGTAACTTGTAGTAAGAGTATGAGTAGGCTATAAATGAAAGATGTATGTCTCCGCGTAATAATGATGAGCTTTTATACACTGGAAAACCGATGTGTTGGTTTACCACTACAATCAGTTTCTTTTATCAGTTCTATAATCATGAACAGTTGTTTTCAATCCTAGGTTCTAACTTGTGGTAACTTGATGCTTTTGCTTGTATATTCGGCATTCACACTGAGATAGCAATACTTTTATTGTGAGATATGTGATAAAGTAGTGTCTGAAACATACATCCTTGAGCAGCTTACGTGACGAAAAATAAACAAGGTGCAGGGCATTGCAGATCCAGTAAGGAACATGAGTCACTTTTTCAAGATAGAGGGGAAACATGTCCACTAAGTTCTTCTCTCTTATATGGTGGTCAAGAGGACATGTACATCAAATCATCTGATGCTCATAAAACTCTATCATATACTTCTGTGAGTTCTTTTGCTTATAATCATCTTCATAATTTAAAATATGCAATGTGATAAGCTAACTCCTTTTGATGTACTTTTAAACATTTCAGTACAAGAAGGAAGGAGGAGAATACGATTATAGTGGAAACACCCAATACAGTGCATCTAGAGGAAACTGGTGGCAAGGTATGCATGTTGTTAATTATATTGCAATTGTTGCAAGTACTCATCAGTGGAAGCTAAGTTTTTTTGCAAAATTCTTGTTTTCAGGGTCACTTTATTACTAGAAACACGGCTTCCGATCCCCCAAGACGTGAATTCCCATTTATTTAGTAGAGGTAAGTTAGTGAGGGACATCAAAAGCTATTCCATTGACCAAATATGCGTCTCTGATGTCGGAACCTTTTATCTTGAAATATTCTAATTTAATTTTAATGCAAATTCTGAACTTGTTATCTTAGTTTTTTCTTATGTTGAACAGCAAAGTTTATGATGATGGTTGTCTACTTCCATATTGCTTACTCTTTTACCCACAAAAAGATTCATGTTGAAACTTGCTCTATTTTAAAGGGGTGGGGGCATTATCATAAAGAATGAAATACGTCGTTTCCAAAAATGTATCTTGTTTTAGCTAAGATGTTGATAATTTCACTTCTTCCTGTAACACCGTGATGTTATTTTGTTGCGCTACAAATGATCATTCGTTCCATAATTTCTTGATTAATTTGCAGGAGTTCTGGAAGTCTTGGAAGCAGGTTGCTATAGATTTGTTGAAGACTACTAGTACGGCCATGTGTTGACAGACTCGAAACTTTTTACTCTGGGATCTCTTGATGGTTATTTGAAACCTTATATGACATGGACCTTTTAAATCTTTTTAGCTCTGTACTGTGCCTTACAAAGCAGGGACTGTGGGAACTATATCTCTATACTCCTTTTAACTCTTCGTATGCAATTAAACGATGTAAATTTCTGAATAAGTTCTTGTCAAGACTTGCATGAATTGGTTCTTTGGAAATCTACTGTGCAATGAACTTGCATCGCCTATTCTGAATAAGATTGATGGTTGATATATGTATGGGTCTGATGGCTTGAAATTCTATTTATTTTTATTATACATAATAGAACTGAAGAACATATTACCTCACCTCTTTGCTGACAGTGATAGCAAGGTAATAAGAATTTGGCAATGATTGAGCTACAAAGTATAAAAACAACAGAATTGGCAATGAAGTTAGAGACTTTCTTTTCTAAAGACGTAATACCTTCTTCAAAGAGAAAAAGAAAAATCCACTTTAGTGATAAATATTCAACCAAGTAAAGGAAGGCAAAACTATAGATATATATGAATTAGATCCAGCAGCTAACATCAACTGGTTTAATGGCGCCTGTCTTGCATCATTAAGGACAATTCGAAGTCCCAACCTTGAGCTATAAAAGGTAAAAAAATTCCAGATTCAAGAATGTGCAACCCTTGATCCAACTGCAAATTAGCAAAATCCAGGCTTGCTGCTCTTTTATTCATTGCCATTGCTGTTTTTATTCTTTAGGCCTAATATCCTGTTTCTGTGCAAGAGGAATGATGAAAGATGTAGTGTGTTGAAGCTCACAAGATCCATAGATACAGTTGGACCATCAATGCAGAGCTTTGTTGCAGCACTTGGGTTGGTGGAGTTTAAGGGCAGGCCGAGATAGAGTGCCATGATAAAGCGCGAGTTCATTCTACTATGTCATCTAAAGCTGATACGTGGATGCTGGTTGAGCTCAATTTTGCACTTCTACCATCACTCTTTAGCAGGGAGTGAAGGCCAGGACTTATTATCATCTTTCTTCTAGTTTTTAATCATGTAAAAGCTGATAAACCGAAAACTGAAGACCCCATTTCATTTCAGAGGCAATATACTGAAAACTTGTGACTTTGCAAAATGAAGGAATAAGAAGATAACAACACTTTGCCAGTATAATGGCTCGGTGGCAGTTCCATTCAATAAGGACCTAGGAAGCATGCTAATGGAGGCATGTGTGAATCTCCAATATTCCTCTGAATAGGAAATGTTGAGGACTGATTGTACCACAACATCAACCCGTGATCATGGAATACTTTTTGGATCACACAACAATAAGAATCGGACAAGCATAATTCACAAACAATCAAAAAATATAATCTAGTTTCATTCTTACCAGATCAGATTGATGTGTGGCGACCATCTCACTCAAAATGTAGTCTTTACCATTCAATGAGATCGATTAGGATAGCTAGTTATGGCAGCGTGATATCTCCTTCATCTTTGACACGTGCAAACTTGTTAAATTGTTGGATTTGGAATCCTTCAACATTGATGGTACTTCTCGCAGTGAAATACAATCTCTAATTCATACAAGATACTTTGCTGCTCGAGCTAATGCTAGTTCAACTTCCTCCTTTATAGCTAAGCTTTGGAATCTTGAACCTTTTGTCATAAAACAGGGCTAAAGCGGAGACTGATATTACCTACTTCCCTTCAAGATTCCAAAGGTTAACCATAACGGAAGTAATTGAATCATTAGTTTGAGCAACAAAGTAGCTTAAATGGATTATTAGAGATTGTATTACATTGAAGTAAGTGCTAACAATGTTAAAGGATTTCAAATCATCATCTTAACAAGTCTTTAACTATCATAGACACAAGAGATATCAAGCCACCATGACAAGCCATCCAAATCAATCTTTGTGCCTTGCAAGTGAACCATAATAATGCAAATACAAGCTATATGGCAATTTGATCGAATATAATCAAACCGAATACGGGTTCTAACTGCTGATGTTTATGTGGAAACTCATGAACAGGTTGAATAGCCAGACTCATATTCAGGGAAAATTATAAGGAGTACAAAGCTTACACTATACAAAGCTATTCGCAAAGCAATGTCTCTCGTGTTGCATTCCCAGTAACTGTATTCAAACCATCAGCAAATTTACAAAGGTATTCTCGTTGATCTTCTCTTAAAGGAACATCGGTGAAATCTGCGCCTTGTATAACGGAACCCTTGAAAGATGTATTCCCCGTTGTAAGTGCTCCTTCCAAATTAGCATTGCTTAAATTGACCTTAGTCACATTAGCTAAGGAGAAATCAGCACCTCTAAGATCCGCATCGGATAGATCAGCACCAGTTAAATCGGCATCAAAGAAGCTAGCTCCGAGTAACTTCGCACCTTTAAAGTTAGCTTGTCTGAGTATTGAAGTTTTAAAATCTTGTTTGATTAAACTTTTACCACTAAAATCCTTCCCTGTTAGATCTTGGCCTCTTGTTACTCCAGCACCGTAAGGGCCTCCGCCTTTAAAGGCTAAAGCAGGATCTGAAGCAAAGAAGAGTGAAGCAGAGAGAAGAGCCAGAAAACTTGCTCTTGAGATTGACTCACTTAAAGAGATGAAACCATTTCTCGAAGATTCAGCTGATTTTAGAGAAACCTGTGATGTAGCTTGATGAGTTTGTGGGGGGAAATGAAGTTTTGGATTTGAGGGGAGTTTTGAACAACAGAAGCAGAAGCTGAGAATTGCCATTACTGGTATGAGTGGCTATCAACGGTGAGATTTTTGTTTGTGATAATCTTCAAAAAGAGGAGATAAGAGAGAGTTCGAAAAAAAATTAACGCCGCTGCCGGGGATCGAACCCGGGTCACCCGCGTGACAGGCGGGAATACTTACCACTATACTACAACGACATGTTGTTTACTTAGTGAACTGAATTTCTTTTTAACCCATACAAATAGTCACACTACCATATACAATTTTTTGCATAGATTTATCAAAAACAATTGGTAGAATTTGTGCAAACTTTATCCTCTTTGAACCTTAATATGAGATCACAATAACTCACGATGATTAGTCGACACAGATTCTTAAAAATACACGGCTAATAATAAGGTATATACCTATATAGTTGACTATAGGGGTGTATAAAATCGAATAAAAAATCAAACTAAATCGTAAATCGAGTTAAATAAAAAAAAATGTCTCGACAAGTGATTTGGTTTTATTTGGTTTGGTGTTGGATAAAAAAACCCGACTATATTTGGTTTGGTTTGGTTTGGTTTCAACTATAAAACTCAAATCGAGACCAAACCAACCCGACATAATTATATATATAATTTTAAAATTTTATTTTATACATAAAATACTTACTTTGATATAATTTTTAAATATATCTTATACTTTTTTATAGTTTTAATCTTTTAATATATTTATTTCATGTTTGGAAGTTAGAATTCTTAATGATCTAATAAAGATTATAATTCATACATGTTGGTAATTATAATAAAATTTGAAGTAAAATCAAATTAATACTAATGCAAAAAGAAAATCAATTCAATACTAAGAATGACAATAGTATTGAATATTTGTTTTTTAGTTTTACATAGATTTAGATAATTAAAACACATGATCTAATTTTACTTTCTTTTAATATTTAGTCATGTAACTAATACTTACCAAACTTATTTTAGCATGATTTAATATTTTAAATTATGATCAATTTTATTATGATTTATTAATTTGCAACATTTGTTCTAAGCGATTCTATTGTTATATTTTTGTTGGATATTTTAGTGTCATTAATCATATCATTTTTTTTATTATTTTCTTGAGAAATAACTTAGATAATTGTATTTTGATAGGACTAAAGAAATATTTGAAGTACAAGTAATTATACGTTTGTATGAATACTTTATTGAAAAATCCAAAAAAACTCAAAAATCCGAAATTAAAAAACCCGAGTTTTTTTGGTTTGGTTTGATTTTATAAGTTTAAAAATCCGAGACAAATGATTTGATTTAATATTTGAAAAACTTGAACCAACCCAATCATGTTCATCACTAGGGCTAATAAATTATCTATCTTTCAAGTAAGCTAGTAAGGATAAAAATGTATTCGCATTCTGCACTTATATAAAGCAATAAAAGAATGATATGCGTTTGTAAACAAGTTTTTATCAGATCAAATAATAACAAATAAAAATAAATAATAAGAAATAATATACCATAAAAGTAAAATGTAAAAAAATTACATAGAATCTTCATGTTAAATAACAAATAAAAATAAATGATAAGAAATAATAACGATAAAAGTAAAATGTAAAAAAATTACATAGAATCTTCATGTTATTCATCATCTAACACGTCGCAATTTGCGGTATATATAAATTTGCATCATCATTCTGCTTTCGTCTATATAGTATTAGAGAGAGAGAAAAAAAAATTTAAAATCCATTAATACTATATAAATATTACATCAGCTTAATATGTTTATTAAATAAAATTACAGAATTATTTGTGTTGCAAGAGATTGATTATAACCGATTTAATTTTAATGAGTTCTATATTTAAATTCTTGGCAAACAATTAAACATGTCACCAAGTGTCATCACAAAAATTATATTATGCATATAGAATATCATATTATTTATGAAAATCAATCTTTCTTTTTTGTTTTAGCAATATGTAATAAAGCTTTAAACATTCTTAGCGAAATTCATAACGCAGTTGTTAATTATTTAGGCAACAAAATTAATTTATGTTATGACAGCAACTTGTTTTTAAATAGTTAAAATTCTATAATTTATTTGATCATGTCATCACGACAAATGTAATGACAGGCTCGATAAATATAATTGTGTATATACATATATATATATATTATGAGAATACGTTTCTAGTGTAGTATGTATACATATATCAGTGTTGCCTTGCACGTTATTCTACCTTTGATAGAACAAACAACTTTAGAGCAACCACTTAATTAAGTGAATGAAAATAGTAAGACAACTATTCTTTTGGATTCGTTTGGTTGTTGGTCAGAGAATTAGAGTAATGCAAGTATTAGTTATTTATGTATTAAAACTCACATAGATTATTAGCTATATGAATTTTCCTAATAATTGAAAACAGTAGAATACTGTATTAATTCTAAACATGAATAACTTACCTCCTAACCAACTATCAAATATAATATACTTTATGCAGAATTTAATACTTGCATAACATATTTCTAAACCAGCTATCAAACGTTCTTTTGAGAGTCTAAGCCATATAAAATATG